CTGGGTGTTTCCTAGTTTACCTTAATTTTTGCCTAATAGTTTTAATGGAAACACAATTGTTTTATAAACAATTATTTAGAATTAATTCTCTTAATTAATTTTTGCCTAATAGTTTTAATGGAAATATAATTGTTTTATAAACAATTATTTAGAATTGCTTAATTCTCTTAATTTTTTCTGTAGGGTTTCTATCTTTGGTGTCATACTATAAAGCTTTACCTAAGCCAAGATTTTTTCTGCTTTATAATTTCTTTTTTATATATTTGATCTGAAAATTATTATTATATGGTATTTGATAGGCTAAACTTGTTTTTTTCCTGAATGGTTATCCTCATAATTTATTGACTGTTAGATTTTGAGAACTTGACAGAGCGATTCTAAAATTTTTATGAAAGAATAAATGAATGGTACTAAGCAGCATTTTCTAAAAGAGTGAGGGTGATGTTCTATCGAATATTAAAATGTATTATATTAAAAAGTACAGTTGTTAAACAACGTGACATTATTAGATGCAATGATAGAATGATGGTTATATATGCATAGAAAAGGATCGGTTTAGTCACTAAAACATAGGGTTTTTTCTGTTTAGAAGGCAAGGAATCCACCTGCTACTTTCCCTCTTGCCCATATACAAGTGTTGAAAGGAGATATTAAGGGAATTCTTAGAGAACATTAAAACATTAAAAAAATTAAAATATTAAGCCAGCACAGAGTATAAAATATTTAGTTGATAAATGTGATGTGCGAAAAACAGAGGTTGCATTAAATATATATGTTTTCCTTTTGAAATATTTAGATGAGCTATATGATATCATTCAAGTTAGTTTTAAATCCACTTTTCAATTATATATACATATTTATAAGTATAAATATAATATTTTTAAAGCATCCTTTCCATGTTACAACCTATGAAGAAAAGGTGATCCTAACTCAAATGTTAATCTGTTGTCTTGGTAGAATTATCAGAGTTAATTGAACTGGCTCAGACTGACTCTTTAAAGTTTATGGTGACATAGACATGACAGTGTTAAGAGGGTGTCACTGGGAGCCAGTCTCTTAATGGGCTCTTCAAGCTGCTACCTGGTGGAAATGCTGTAAGGCTGTGGCCTGCACTGACTCATTTGGAGTTGACACTGATGGGGAGGCTGATAAAGACGGATCCTGCCAGGGTCATAGCTTCATTCTGGGATCCTTTGGAAAATAAAAAGCCTTTGTTGCTTCATATCACATTGTTCTCAGGAATCTCGCTATCTGGGAAAGCCATTCCCTTGAAGCACTAGGATTAGGGACTGTAAAGCCAGAGAACGATTTGACCGCAACCCCAGCCCCAAGCCCTTTCCCTACTCTCACACTTCCGTTGCCCATCTCAGCTTTTATTCCCATCTCCCTGACATAAATTGCCTTTTAAATTATTTCTTTACTTTTAATACCTCTACTGTGAGTCGTGTTGTTGAGATAATTCCACCCATCCCAACAGAATAGTTAGAATGTCACATGTTAGATTAATAAGAGGAAGTTCTGCAGAGAGGCAGGAGGAAGTATAGAGGGAGAGATGTATGCGGATGTGTTCATATTTACATTTTAATGATAACTGTTAATGTGTGTGCGTCTCTTTGGTTGTATTATAGTAATACTTTAAGTGTTTCAATGGAAACATACCTCCCTGCTAATATTTGAATAGTATAAATTGGATAATGAATTCTTTTAGAAGCAATATACATTGTGTACTCTTTTTGCTTTATGTCTCAGTTTTAATTGAACATTAAGAGAATGCAGTATTGTAATTGTAACTCTGCCAATATCTTTATCTAGAGGCCGTTGCCATTTTTGTCTTTTATGGAATTTTTGTCGCCAAGAAAGGCAGGATTACATTTTTTTTTTCTTTCAGATGGAGTTGGTGTAGTGTATTCTTGGTTATCAAAATACTCATAGTTTGAGGATTTTGAAATGGTAAATATTCATGGTGTGTAAAAAAGCATGATACATAACTGTATGATCTTAATTACATTAAAATGCTTACTTGTGTAGATACACACATGGGACCTAAGAGTCAAACTGTAAACTGCTTGTGATTATGGATGACTTTGTTCTTTGCTTCTTGTGTTTTTCAGTTTCCTCTTATGCACATGTTAACTTTTAAAAAATACATTTTTTAAAACCTAAGAAAAAATAAGAGGAAGTTCTGGTTTCGAGTTCAAAAAATTAATGGCAGTGGTTATTGCAAAAAAAAAGGGGGGGGTTCAAAAATATATTAGCCTTAAGATACGTTCTATTGCCAGATATTTAAGAGAAATAATCATTACTTTATAAGTCGTTTATATGATTGTTTCTGTTAGTCTTGGAAGAGGTATTCTTGAAATATTCTGGTGTAGTTCTGTTCAATAGAAATAAAATGCGAGTTATATGTAACTTAAAAATTTCTAGCAGTCACATTTAAAAGGTAAAAAGAAAGAGGTGAAATTCATAGATTTAACTCAGTATACCAAAAATATCATTACAGCACTTACATTCTTTCTTTTTTTTTAACTGAGCATTTGAAATCCAGGGTGTATTTTACAGTTTGCGTACATCTCAGTGCAGACCAGCCGCAGTTCAGGTGCTCGGTGGCCACCCGTCACTAGTGACTGCCCTATTGGATCGCACCGGCCGAGTGTATTAATTCCAGCCAATGAAAATAGAGAATTTGTACTGGAATGATTATGTACTTCCTACTGTGCTTAAACACTGTATGTGTATGTGACTGAAAGAGTGAGTCAATAAAAGAAGGCTATGTTCCTGATTCTTCACAACTAAGAAGTTGGGTTAGTTTTTAAGTATCAAATCTAGACTCACTGGTTAAACTTGAACTTAGTTAAACTATAACTTCAGTGGTGAGTTTACTTTAAGATTACAGATTTGAACTAAGTAGTATTAAATAGCTATTGCAGTGTTTTTGTTTTTTTAAAAGATTTTATTTATTTGAGAGAGATAGCAAGAGCGGTGTTAGGTGCAGAGGGAGAGAGAGAAGATTCCCCGCTCATCGGGGAGCCTGACGTGGGGTTCGATCCCAGAACCCTGAAATCATGACCTGAGCTGAAGGCAGATGCTTAACCAACTGAGCCACCAAGGCGAGGCACCTGCTACTGCAGTGTTAAAAACATAATGCTAGTGTTTTGCCATTATGTATTGTCTTTCAGCCTGAGTGTCCATTTGGGCAGAGGCTTTCTAGCTGTGTTCTGCCAAGGCCCAGGGCTTCTGTGCAGTTTAAGGTGGGGTCAGAAAGGTTCAGCAAGTTGGGCTCCAGCCCTTTACTCCTCACCCTCACCCAGTCTGTTCAGTTGTTTTTTCTGTACAAGGTTCTGTATGAGTTTCCCTTGGGACAAAAAAAGTATATATTATATTTTAAAAGTTTGGAGACAGTTGCATGCTTGGCAGTTATTCTTGCGGATCTGAACCTATCTGATATCTTTTTTTCAGACTATGATAGGAATCTGGTAAAAAGATTTTGGTTCTTTACACTGGAATCTTGATCTGTAATTTATACAAACACTATTTGTCTGTTTCTTTGCCTTTCTCCTTCCAGCATTCTTCTGGCTTATGGGCATTATTGAGCATCTACTTTATATGACCATAGTATAGGATTTGGGTTCTGTACAGTATACAATAAAATCTTTAATCCATGGCAGATTGATTTCCCAGAGACATTTCCATTTAAACATCTAAAAATAAAATTGGATACCATTACCTTTTAAAAATATTTATAATAAGGCAAGTTTTACTTAGATGATTCATGTCTATCTTTGGTATTTAGATGAAGTACCTATCTGGATACAGGATATGATGTAGATCATCTTTTCATATGTTTATTTGTCATCTGTGTATCTTTTTTGGTGCGATGCCTTTTCAGGTCTTTGGCCCATTTTTAAATGGAATTGTTTGTTTCCTTATTCTTGGGTTTTAAGATTCTTATTATTAATGGTCCTTTATCAGGTCTGTCTTTTGCAAATATTTTTCTCCCAGCCCCTGGCTTGTCTTCTCATTCTCTTGATATTGTCTTTCAAAGAGTGGAAGTTTTTAATTTTAATCAAGTTCAGGATCAGTTATTTCTTTCAGGGCTCATGTCTGGTAACCATCAGTTTGTTCTCTATAGTTAAGAGTCTGTTTCTTCCTCTCTCTTTTTCCCTTTGCTCCTTTGTTTTGTTTCTTAAATTCCACTTATGAGTGAAATCATATAGTATTAATCTTTCTCTGATTTATTTCTCTTAGCATTATACTTTCTAGCTCCATCCATGTCATAGCAAATGGCATGATTTCATTCCTTTTTATAGGTAATATTCCATTGTGTATGTATACCACCTCTTCTTTATCCATTCATCAATTGATGGACACTTGGGCTGCTTCCATATCTTGGCTATTGTAAATAATGCTGCTATAAACATAGGGGTGCATGTGTCCCTTTGAATTAGTGTTTTTGTATTTGTTGGATAAATACCCAGTAGTGGGATTGATAGATGGTAGGGTTCTATTTTTAATTTTTGAGGAATCTTCCAGGAGGGTTTTTTGTTGTTGATTCTTTCAGATTTTCTACATAGACGATCATGTTATCCTTGAGCAAAGGCAGCTTTATGTCTTCCTTCCCAATCTGTATACCTTTTATTTCCTTTTCTTGCCTTATTGCATTAGCAAGGACATCCAGTTGATATTAAAAAGGAGTAGTGAGAGGGGATATCCTTGACTTGTACCTGATCTTAGTGAGAAAGCTTTGAGTTTCTCATTATTAAGTATGATTTTAGCTGTACAGTTTTTTTAGATCATCTTTAGCAAGTTAAGAAAGTTCCCTTCTATTCCCAGTTTTTATCATGAGAGGTTTTTTGTTTTTTTGGGTCATTAGTGGGTTATTATAAATGAGCTAATGCTTTACATTTTTATGGAAGTAAAACTCAGTTTTATTTTGGTCTTCCTTATTCATCAATTGTTCTTTTATTATTTCACTTCTGTCTATTGGTAATCTGTGTTTCTAGGCTCAGCTTGTCAATCGGAAACAGAAATTAGAGTCTGTGGAGCTGTCCAGCCAGTCGGAAATTCAGCACCTGAGCAGTAAGCTGGAGCGGGCCAATGACACTATCTGTGCCAATGAATTGGAAATAGAGCGCCTCACCATGAGGGTCAATGACTTGGTTGGAACCAATATGTCTGTTATGCAAGAGCAGCGGCAAAAAGAAGAAAAATTGAGGGAATCTGAAAAACTATTAGAGGTTTGTTTTAAAATTACTACAGTTGGGGAAATATGTGTATGCATGTTTTTAAGAGAAACTAATTAGCCCCAAAGTCCATCAACTGAATGGATAAAGATGATGTGGTGTATATATAGACAGTGGAATATTACCCAGCCATCAAAAAAATGAAATCTTGCCATTTGCAATGACATGGATGGAACTAGAGTGTATTATGCTAAGCGAAATAAGTCAGAGAAAGACAAATACCATGATTTCACTCATACGTGGAATTTAAGAAACAAAACAGATGAACATAGGGGAAGGGGGAAAAAAAGAGAGGGAGGCAAACCATAAACTCTTAAAAAATAGAGAACAAACTAAGGGTTGCTGGAGAGGAGGTGGGCGGGGGGAAGGGATGATTGGGTGATGGGCATTAAGAAGGGCACTTGTGATGAGCACTGGGTGTTATATGTAAGTGATGAATCACTGAATTCTGCTCCTGAAACCAATATTAAATTATGTGTTAACTAACTAGAATTTTTTAAATTTATTTTTTATTAGTTTCAGAGGTAGAATTTAGTGCTTCATCAGTTGGATATAACACCCAATGCTCATTACATCACGTGCCTTCCTTAATGCCTATCACCCAGTTACCCTATCCCTCCATCTCCCTCCCCTCCAGCAACCCTCAGTTTGTTTCCTAGAGTTCAGTGTCTCTTATGGTTTGCCTCCCTCTGTATTTTCATCTTATTTTATTTTTCTTTCCTTTCCTCTATGTTCATCTGTTTTGTTTCTTAAATTCCACATATGAGTGAAATCGTATGGTATTTGTCTTTCTCTGACTGACTTATTTTGCTTAGCATAATACCCTGTAGTTCCATCCACATTGTTGCAAATGGCAAGATTTCATTCTTTTTGATGGCTGAGTAATATTCTGGGGTGTGTGTGTGTGTGTGTGTGTGTGTACACACTACATCTTCTAATTTATCCATTCATCTGTCAGTGGACATCTGGGCTCTTCCCATATTTTGGCTCTTGTGGACATTGCTGCTATAAACACTGGGATGCATGTGCTCCTTCGAATCACTGTTTGTATCCTTTGGATAAATACCTAGTAATGCAATTATTGGGTCATAGGGTAGCTCTATTTTTAACTTTTTGAGGAACCTCCATACCGTTTTCCAAAGTGGCTACACCAGTTTGCATTCCCACCAACAGTGTAAGAGGGTTCC